TGAATTTGAAGCCTACGCACAGTGGCTTTTCTGGGAAAGCAAATTTTCTAGGAATGCCAGTTACAATTTTAGGAAGGAAACAATGTGGTAATTTTCAAATTCAGATCAAGTTTTGGCACAGAAGAAGAGAAGCAAGGCTTCAGAAGAAAAGGTCATGGCAAACAACTATGAAACAGGTAAAAAACTGTTTTCTCTTTTTGTCTCCTTTCCCATCTTTTTCAAGCCAGATTTTTACTAGAAAAACTGCTTTCCATCTCTTCTAAACTTCCATCACTCTGTCAGTATAATGCAGGAAAGCAATGCCTGAAAATAGAGCTTTTCTTTTACTAGAGGATAATTACTAATTGTTCATTGTCTCATCATAAAATCCTAGTGAAGACCAGGATTTTACCATGAAGATGCTGAAAAGCATCAATATTATACCTTATATAGGAAAAACTACAGTGTTTCATCTGTCCTCTGTCCCCTGGAAAACCACCACTTCTCTGGCAGACAAGGTAGAACATAACACCTCTTTCCTTCCTTTCTACAAGATCTGTCTGATTTAAATTGAAAGCTCTGTAGGGTGGGAACCTGTTAGGAACTACATTAAGTATGTGTATTGTAAAGAACTATGTTACATCAACAGTGTTGGGGGGTGGGGTGGGGAATCAATCAAAGATTGTTATACCAAAGCCTCAACTGTAGGTCCCAGGAATGACAGTATAATTATTTTTGGAGATGACTATAGCAGTAACTCAACATGACACGAGAGACCTGAGAAACAGCAAGCCTGATTTAAACCAATGGAAAAGCCAGGAATGCAGAATGGAGACTGTTCTTAATGCACCATATTGCATCTGAACATTTTGTTCCTACCCATCTATCCAAAGCATGACGTTTTGCATTTCATATTAACATTCTGAAGACATTAAAGGATTCTTCAATTTGATGTTCATATGCTGTGTCAGAACACGCACTCTGACTGCTTTAGAGAGATGTTATGTTTACCTTCTAGTCATCTTCCCTCCTTCAGCCTCCTAACCATCCTCCCTCCCACTCCCCAAAAATTCCTGGGGCTATTTTTATTGGTAGCATTATTTA